AATTTTGAACTTAGAAGAAGTTTTACTAAATTACGTGCATCTTCTCATAGATTACAAATAGAATTAGGTAGATATCAGGGTATTCCCCGAATTAACAGAATATGTAATAAATGTTCTTCCAATACTGTCGAAGATGAGGCTCATTTTCTATTTGATTGTAACAAATTTGAGGATGATAGAAATTGTATGTTAGCTAGTATTGCACAATATAATTCTTATTTTAATCATATGAACAGTCAAAGCAAAATTATCTGGTTATTTAGTGTAGAAAATGTTGAGTTACTTAAAATAATATGTAATTTTATATACAAACATCTTCCTTAGTGAAGATTAGTTAAAGGAAATCTATGTGTGTATATACATTTGATTGGACATAGAAAATTATATTCATCTGAATATCACAAACATACTAGCCGATTAAAAAAAAAAATAATTGTTAAGATATATTATTTATTCAAATGTTCTCTTATATCCTTGAGGCATCGTCCCCTGGTATCAACTGCATTCAAGTTACCTATGATGCTTCCTTGTTTGCTTTTGATACAGGTAGGAAAGAGACATTTACACACATTTTACATGCCTATGGCCCATAAGGTATCGCCCCCTGGTGTCAGCTGCCTTTAGGAAACCATAATGCTTTCCTATTTGCTGCTGACACAGGATGAGTCATGGACATGTTTAATTTCTACTTTCTTTTTGGCTAATTATTATATATTTAATTGATCCAACTTTTTGTGTACTATACATATGTGGATATCTATTTTTCTTTTTTTCTTTTTGGGCTGCTTGTTTGTTATCTATATCAACCACACTTGCAATAAAATGCATTAGTATTAAAAAAAACAACATACTATAGATTCTTTATCTACGTATTCTTTAAGAACTTAAATAGTTCTCGTTTAACTTTTTTTTTTTTTTATCTCATTGTTTGTATTGTATTATGAAAAAATTATTGATGTTGTAATGTTTATGCCCTTTGGGGCCCATAATTGGAAATAAAATATCTTATCTTATCTTATCTTATAATACACCTAAAATATTGATATAGAAGAGTGATACAAGCTATTATATGTCAAATTAAAAAAAAAGTATTTAAGAGTTGCTACTCCAGAGTTGTGGCAAATGTCCTCTCACTTGATTTTATTTACAGTTCATAAATGGAAAAAACAAGATAACAAGAATGTAGACTGAACAACATAGTTTAATCCAATAACACATATAACATTGAACTATGCCAATCGTTTGACTGCAGTGGGGGGTGGGGGATTAGAATTATATACAGTGTTTAGTGGGTGTTCTCCATGTAAATTGTACAGTCAATGATGTTTAAAATAATCGTGTCAGGCTGCGGGACACTCTATCTTATATACAATGAATTAAAAGTAATATATAACATGTAAAAGGAAAACGCAAAGAAAAAAAAACAAAGAAGTAGATATAGGGTCAAAGTTCGATGCATATTCTGTTTATGGGGGTTTTCATATAATATCTATATGAACTTTTAATATTTCATTTCAATGTAAAAAAAAAATGTTTTTCTGTTACAAATGACAATGTATTGTTTTGTGTGTATACATGTCATGCTGCCCATCAAGGACCCTTGATTGGAATAATAAATATTCTGTTTATTCTTATTCTTATAATCCTGAACTAGATTCATTTAAGAAGCAAATTACCCTAATTTTAAAAAAGAGAACGATTTCGATAGTAATACCAAGTAAAAACCAGGAAATTATAAGATTTCATATCACTGAAACAAAAATTTGGCAAATGTAAGAAACTTGTTAAGATAGAATATAGATACAACACATGGCAGATGTTTAGATCCATCTGTTGGAGATTAATCAACGTTTTATAAAGTAAGTATATTTAATACGACGTCAAATTTATTAACTGTTACAAATACAATAAAAAATCTGTAGTATGACGTCAATTGATTTTCCGAACACCAACAAGTGCGATGACCATTCTTCGAAAAAAAAGGTACGAAAAAAATGAAACGGATCAGATAGAATAAAAACATCATGTATATTGAGATGGTAAATTGTCCCATTTCTCTCAAGTTTTATCAATCCGCTGAGAATACCTTATCATACCTCCAAATTGTAATTTATTCAATAATACAGTTTACATATTTTTAGTAATGCGATGACCGCCGACCCATATTGTATACAACGCGTTCTCAATTATATAAGAATATCTCCAAATCGTAACGCACACACATCCATAAAAAGGGATCAAACGTTTAAGTTTACACATAGCTTTTCGTGAACCTTTGAAAATCAGAGAGAGAAAAGGAAAATACAATAAAAAAAAATGCGTCTTTAAAATCCTGGAAACCATTTTTCCTTTTCATTAGGGGAAGTGGTGTGGTGTCGGATTTGTTTGAAGTTAATGACTTTTCTTGCCTCTCCCTTCATTCTTCATCCAAATCTCACCACAATACTTGTACCTTATTTATTCCGAAGATATCTTCCGTAAGTTTAATTATAATTTCGCAAGCAGATACCCCTATCATTTCAAATTGATTTGTCGATTTTTCATTGTAAATATAATCCCATTTTATATGTTTTTGTAGACGGAAAATTAGTTTTTTTGGACAGAATTGAAATTCAATCTGAATGAGATAGATGTTATTGCATCTGATTTTTATCACAGAGCTGTTGAACATTGGCAAGCTCATTTTTCAAAGTCAGATTTCATCATTAAACATCCCTGTATAGATAGCCTATCAAAGATCGTATGCTCTCTATCTTAAAGTAGACAAATTACATTTATTTGTGGAATACGTTGCCTTTTCTCCTCCCTGTATACTTGTAATCTTTAGAACAAAGGATAATTTCTTACATGCATTGGATGTGTTACACCACTGTTCCAGGTTAAGGGGAGGGTTGGGCGTCCACAAACATGTTTAACCTCACCACATTCTGTATGTGCATGTTATTCAGTGGTTGTCGTTTGTTGCTGTACATCATATTTGTGTTTCGCTTATTGTTCTTTTTTTTAAAAAAACCAGGTCGCTAGTTTTTGTTTTTGTTTTGGAATGTTTTACATTTGTCATGTCGAGGCCTTTAATATAGCTCCATTTCGTTGAACTAGTATATATTATTGTTTAGGGGCCAGCAGAAGCCCGCCTCAGGGTACGGGATTTTCTCGCTGCTTTGAAGACCCATTGTTGGCCTTGGACTGTTTTCTGCTCTTGTTCGGGTTGTTGTCTCTGACACATTCCCCGTTTCCATTCTCTGTTCCATGCGGACATCATTGTTGAAGGTCGCACGGTGACATATAGTTGCTAACTTCTACGTTATTTGGTCTCTGGTGGAGCGTTGTCTCATTGGCAATAGCGTTGTCTCATTGGCAATCAACCACACTATGATATTCTTATCTTTATCTTAAAAGGATTCATTCTAGGGTTATTTGGACTGTTATATAATATATTTGTATTCAATAATCAGGGAACAAAAATTCAGATATTGTAATATATACATTCGTTCTTTGTTTACTTGTTGGTAATTTAGTGCAGGTAATTGAGGAAGGTGGATTAGTGTATACGAAGGACATCCACGGAAGACAAGCACACACACACCAAGCAAATAGAGAACAGACGAAACTCGTTATTTCCACTGGTACCTGGGGACAGGATAGAGATATAATATACTACTGTCCGCTGTGGATAGTAAATTTGGAATTGATAGATACAGAAAAACACGAAAATAATTGAAATTAATAGAAAACCAAAAAAATTACGGATTTTGCGGAAAAAAAGGGGGGAGGGCAAAACAAATTGTTCTGTTCCCAAGTACCTATGATTATTTCCGGTATTTGATTTTTTGAAGAATCTAACCTTTACGGGAAATTTCAAAGTTAAATTCTATTTAATTACACACATTCGCTCAGACCAATTATACGGAGGGGAAGAAAGAAAAATTGCAATGGAAAAATCCACATTATTGTTTTCACATGTTTTGGTGCCTGGAGATGTGCCCTGTTTTAAAAAAAAATTGGACATCTACATATGGAAGGAAATAATATCAAAAGAGGACCTGCAACATAGAATTGAAATTGCAGTCCAGAGGAAAATATTCACATTCCCAAATTATTTTTGTTCAAATCCAGAAATTGCGCTCCTTCAGGAAGATGGATGGTCTAAACTGAAATCGGTCGATTTAATTTCTTGAATAATTTGCCAAAACATAGTTTATATTATGCTTTTTACAAAAAAAAATATATAAAAAGTATTTGTCACGAAGCTTTTCTTCAAGCTGGAGGTTGTGCAAAATGTCAGATTATATATGGAAAAACCAATTGTGAATGATAGAAAGAAAACTATAAATGATCAAATTTTTAAGATTAAATACATATTAAGTGCTTTAAGAAAATACAAAGAAAAATTGCGGTAATAGGACTCATTTACTTGCTACAATACAAAATAGGTAAATTCACTTCACACTACTTTATAAAAGTTTTAATTGAAGTCAGCTTCCTTGAAAAGATAAACTATTGATATTAATCAGACTTTAAGCAACCAACAAACCGATGCGCTTGTTGAGCTAGAATGCAGGACCATGACCGAATTTTATCTCAACAAACGTTATGATAGATATGGTTTGTTTACGTTGAAGTTAAATGTTTACTGGTATTGTGTTACTTCTTACTTTGTGGGAGAGTGGTTTTCTATTTTATTGCAATTATAGCCTGTCATTTTTAAATACTCATAAACTTAAGGGAAACCGTAAACTATCTTCAGTATATCAATCAAATAATACCAATTTACATATAGTTTGTAAACATTACATCGTCAAGTACTGAAAACTGAAACTAGTAATAATTAGTTTTGTATATAAAGTGGTTTTCCTCCAGTGATATGAATAGCTTTCCCATGCCCTCAGTTTCTATGTATTCAATACAAACCCACAATTACAAAAGCGTATTGTCACCCTAAAATTTAAATATGTTGTAAAATGAGAAGCCATCACTTGGGGGAATGTAGAATCTCTTACCTGGTGGACAAATACAATTACTTTGGCGTCTGAATCGTTCATGTTCTTCACTGTTATGTAAATATCCTACATGTTTTAATTTCTGAAGAAGAAGAAAAAAATAAATTGATAAACTGAATAGATTCTAATTTAAATCATGAGATTGCGATATGGGCGCAGTCGTAAACGAGACAGCAAATACACAACTAAAACAACACTCTAAAGTTAAACAAAATCCGACCCACTTCCTATAACTCTTCGTTGGAAACGGTCCAACCCTATAATAAATCAAATAAAATGTCATCTCAATAAAATACGGCTGCTGACTTTAACATCCCGAATCAAATCAAATCAAATCATTTTATTGGTGTAAAATTCAAATATTGGATTGTTACCAAGACAAACATGACAATATTTACAAACATACAACATTTGAATTAAAGCAATATTCATATTATATAAGTATCTCGTATATTTAGATATTTTGGAGGAGGTGATACTTTTGCAAATTTGAAAGTAAAAGTACAATATTCTTAATGCTATTGTTATAAAATATAACATAACAAATATATATGAAAAATAGAAAATAATCACAAATTTGTATTACATAATTAGTTTTTCTTGTCAGCTAGGCTATTTCTGGTCCGAGATGACGTCCCACGGCCCAGCTTGTCAGGCTGGCAAAATAGCCGGTGGACGTCAGAGTAATCTCGGACTAGGCTATTTCTTAGTACGAATAGCAAAACGGACAAACGCCGTCAGCAAAGTGTTACTACTGACCCTTTAAGTCCTGGAAAGTTTATGTGAGGTGAATGTCTTCAATTAATACGGCAACCAGACATCTCTGTCGACCAAAAAGGCATCTATAGTTTGGAAAAAAAAGTAATGAAGTGGATATATACGAGACAAAGCTCCTTTGACGAACTAAGAAATAGAAAATATTTGAATGGATACTCGCTCTCGTTGTTGTTCAGCATCTGGGTATACTAAGAAATGACCAATATATCAAAATCACAGCACTTTTATTTAGTTTCCTTTAACTTGACAGTTGCTGAAAGTCTATAAACCAAAAAGCTTTTTATTTAACGATAATCCGAACGACCCGTAAAGAAAGTTGTGCTCTTTTTACTATCGGCAATAATTTCTACATGTATGTTTCCTTAGGCCTACTATACCACTGACAAAGTCTTCCTATACTTATCTGGTGTTGCCTATAAAAAGGACTGGTCAGTAATGGGTTTTGTTCTCCCAAAAATAGAATATGATATAGCAATTTGTATATAAAAAAAATCGGACCGACTTCGCCAATAACCGTTTATGAATTTATAAATTAATCAGAAATAAAGTTCCTACTCTCAAAGGCAAAGTTGACATTAGATGAATTTGGCTGTTCTTTTTTGTTCGTCCCTTTTAGATAGAACATAGATCCTCAAGTACTCAAGTATTAACACATGTATGGCTTTCAAATGTTCATTTTGACCGTTCCTGGTGCTGAGTCCTGATGACGGTAAATCCAGTAAATCAATTCATTCCCACCAAATTTATATAGAGTTATTTTCATTTAAAAGACATGTAATATTTACCACTGGACGTAAAGCAAACAACCATCAATCAATCAATAAAAAGGATTTATTACATTTAATTAGTTATTCATTCGATTATATAAGTATATGTTTTTTTTCTCAAATAAGACTAATATATATGTTAGTCTCGTAACAGTCTCTGTTCGTGTAGTAAAATAAGTTGGTTGCATATATGCGTTTATTATTTCAATTTCGATATACTAGTATTCTTATTTACGAAATCTGATGATATTGATATGAAAATGTCAAAATTATTTCCTTATCTTCTGCATTATAAGTATGAAATAGATCCCATAAATATCTAGATTGTAAAAGCTTTTTAAGATTCCCTTACTTACCTTATTTAATAATTCCTCTACTTTTCTCTCTACTATCACATTTATTTCATTTTTATAGTTTGAGCATTCATTTTCTAAATATTCCACTCTAGAATTTAAATTAACAACATGTTGATGATATGAAACTAATGACCATACTAAAAATCCAAGTAATACAATTACAAAACTTGTGGCAACAGTGGCTACTATCCACAAAGTACATTTAATCCTGCCACCGGATTTCTTTTTAACGCTTCCTTGAAGGAATTTGGCATGTTTTTCCATTATAAATTCCTAACAAAATAGAATAAAATCTGCGTTTTAAGTCATATCTATAACACTACAATAGCACCCCACGTGTGAATGACTCTAACAAATACTAACAAGTGAAGCGAGGCAGTTGGATTATGGTACAAAACTTTATCTGCAGACGATGGTTAAGTCGCGTGCAGGAGATACGCAATATACATCATTATGTATATCATATCGCCACTAATCGGAATAATTTATTTCACTAAAATGTGCATTAAATGAATAAATGTCAAGTCTATTTATTTGTTATAAAGATCCATCATCACACTGTAATACCATAGTATTTACATCAACGATTGCCGCTTGGGTGTCGCGAGATCAAAGTTTTATACAGCGATCCTTTAAAGAAGAAAGTATATTGACAGCAGACGATTTGCCGCTTGGGTGTCGAGATATCAAACTTTTATACAGTAAGAACAACGGAATCCTAAGAAAGTAGATTGACAGCAGACAACACTGATTTCAAATAAATAAGCTTAATGGATAAGATAGTTCACTGACTGACTGATTGATTCTTAGTTACATAACGTCCGTGGCAAATATTTCATGCATATATCGAGCACCTGAAATGAATGGTGCGAGAACTGTTAAAATGACATAGACACAGACACATTTATAAAACCCCAACATAAATGTATTATTTCAGATCGAAAAACCAATGGGAACGACGTTAGTCTTACTTCTAGAAGGCCTTGTCATTTTACTTATGCCTTACTTAAAGTTTAAAAATCATAAGAGCTGGTATTTTATAGCAATAACTGTTTTTTTCCAACGTGCCTGTGGTCAGAATTTTTTTTGTGAAAATCGCAATTTTGGAAAGCTATCAAATCACACACCAAAAGACAGTTATAGTTCTATACAAAAGTATGCAGCTTCAAAAAAACTTAGTTATCTGATTTACAAGGTATGCAGATAAATCTTAAGAGATTTACAGGTGTGTTTTTATATTTTATACTCTAAATCATGTTTTTACATTCAAACTTCAATGAACAACAATCATGAAAAACTGTCATACTTTTTTCGTTCTAACAACACTATTTCTGTGTTGATCGTTTTATATCAGAATGATTGATCATAAACCAGAAAGAATCCTCATTTGAACCTATAAATATGTATGTGCCTTGTTTTCATCAGTTCAGAATGTTGTTGTGATGTCAAACCATTACACTAATGACCAGTATATACAAATAGATAATGAAGTACCGACTTTGTCTATCATGGTGATTGAACCTTCCAACGTAATCATATTTGACGAGAGATGTGCATAGAATCGTTGTAACAAGTGTCTAAAATTTGCTAACATGGGAACCAAGAGAACATTGGTAAAATTGAACAATGCTGAACGGCCAAGACTAGTTCTTAGACGTACAAAATGTTGATTTCAGAGGACGATGTCTCCACCGTACCTCGAGTTACCAAATCTCTAGAAAAGTAGTGCTATATAGGACAAAGTACAGTAATGATACATATAAAAATAAAGAACAAAAGCAATAAATATCATTGAATTTTTTACGATATTATGTCATTATTACGTCAGCCATTGGCGGTAATAGCTGCCAAGAAGGATTTACAAGCCTAAGTGATGGGATTAACATACAGTTCAGTTGGTACTGTTAAATGCATCTACATGACGACTAATTTGTTTTCATTCATCCTTTTTCTGTAGTTATTCCACATCTTTCATTCTTTTTGTATCACTAATCTATTATCCGTTTGCCTAAACGCCATTTATCATATCAGATATCAACCCACTTATATATTGTCAATGGAGCATGTTACCAAACATCCGCTATGGTATTGCAGTTGCCATCGCCATAATTGAAATAAATAAATAAATAATTAAATAAATAAATCAGTCAATATATAGCAACTAAATAATGATTCAAGGGTGGATCTGGAAGATTTAAAGATGAAGGACATTCTTTAGTCAGAGTTATGCAAATTTATGCCCATGTAGAAAGAAGTTGGACTAGAGAGAATTGGATGAAACGGCTATGAAAAAGGCTTTTAGAAGATTTGATGATGTGCTCCTTATTTCTCAAAATAGGACTACGAAAAGGACCAAATTTGTTTCCCCTTCTCGTATTCATCACCCTGATCGAACACCCGATTACTAATATAAATCTTTTCTCTAATGTGTGGTTAGTTACTGTGCCAATAAATGTCAATGTGGTTTCTAGATAAACATTATTATCATAAATAAGTATTTTGTTTGAAATACAGTTATTATTTTGAAAACAATTAAAGATTGCATCTGCGGTGAGGAAAAATTTGATAAACGTATGTATAAGAATAATGATTGATTGATTGTTGGTTGCTTAACGCCCAGAGGCGATTAAAATAAGATGATATGTGTGGTATGCTTGCCTTTGAGACAACTATAAACCACAACTACTTTCTTTGAAACGCGAACTTCTTTTTTCATAAAAATCCAATGAACTGTTAAAAGCTTTTTTTAGCCGTGTGTAACTACAACTTCTATTCAGGGTGTGATGACAACCAATGATGTACTAAAACATGGTGCAATGACAACTAATGTTGTACTAAAACATGGTGCAATGACAACTAATGTTGCACTAAAACATGGTGCAATGACAACTAATGTTGTACTAAAACATGGTGCAATGACCACTCATGTTGTACTAAAACATAGTGCAATGACAACTCATGTTGTACTAAAACATGGTGCAATGACAGCTCATGTTGTACTTAAACATGGTGCAATGACAACTCATGGTGTACTAAAATAGTGCAATGACAACTCATGGTGTACTAAAACATAGTACAATAACAACTCATGGTGTACTAAATCGTGGTGCAATGACAACTCATGATGAACTAAAACATGGTACAATGACAACTCGTGGTGTACTAAAACATGGTGCAATATCAACTAATGTTGTACTAAAACATGGTGAAATGACAATTAATGTTGTACGAAAACATGGTGTAATGACAACTTATCATGTACTAAAACATGGTGCAATGCCAACTCATGTTGTACTTAAACATGGTGCAATGACAACTCATGTTGTACTAAAACATGGTGCAATGACAGCTCATGTTAACTTAAACATGGTGCAATGACAACTCATGGTGTACTAAAACATAGTGCAATGACAACTCATGGTGTACTATAACAACTGATTTTTATAGTTCGTTCTTATGTTGTACTGTTACACCACTGTCCCAGGTTAGGGGAAGGGTTGGGATCCCGCTAACATGTTTAACCCCGCCACATTCTGTATGTATGTGCCTGTCCCAAGTCAGGAGCCTGTAATTCAGTGGTTGTCGTTTGTTGATGAGTTACATATTTGTTTTTCGTTCATTTTTTTATACATAAATTATGCCGTTAGTTTTCTCGTTTGAATTGTTTTACATTTGTCATTTCAGGGCCTTTTATAGCTGACTTTGCGGTATGGGCTTTGCTCATTGTTGAAGGCCGTACGGTGACCTATAGTTGTCAATTTCTGTGTCATTTGGTCTCTTGTGGAGAGTTGTCTCATTGGCAATCATACCACATCTTCTTTTTTATATATACAATGACAATTCATGGTGTACTAAATCATGATGCATTGACAACTTATGATGAACTAAAACATGGTGCAATGACAACTAACGTTGTACTAAAACATGACACAATGACAACTCGTGTTGTACTAAAACATGGTGTAATGACAACTAATGTTGTACTTAAACATTGTACAATGACAACTAATGTTGTACTAAAACATGTTGACAACTTATGTTGTACTTAAGGACTTTTGACACATAAAGTACTTAGAATACCGATAATGACAACTAATGTTGTACTTTAAAGGGTGTTATGTCAACAAATGATGTAATTGGTGCGTGATGACAGATGTTTTATTTAGTTCGTTGTCGGAAACTAATTGTGTACTTAATGTGTATTAACAGTAATTGATGTCTTAAATGTGTGACAACACCAAATGATGTCCTTGATGTGTGATAACACCAAATGATGTCCTTAATGTTGTAGTTAGAATGCAATGACAACTAATGTTGTACTAAGTTTGTGAAGACAACAAAATGCTGTACCAAGACATGATGATAACTGTTATATACTTTTAGTGCATAATGATATATATCATATTTTGTTTTATTAATTGTGTAATTGATATTGATTGATACTTTAATATATCACACTCCATCGATTGCCTACATGTAATGTTGTCACGCTTGTTGGCAAAATTTTATGTCGGACAATAAAAAGCTTCAGAATCTGATAGAAGTATATTATTTATATCATATTGGAACCATCAAGATCTACTAAAATAAGAATTTCAGGAATTTGTGTTGTTCAGTATATATAGAGACTCCGAGAATAGAACTCAGTCCAGTTTTCTAACCATCCTGCGCAATTACATCAAAGTATATATATATATTATTTGGCAATCGCCATGGCAGTCAGAAGGGTTTAAGAACATCCGTTGTTCGACCTGCTAGTCAAATGCGTTTTGTTAAAATATACTTTTCACTTTTTTGGTCTTTTGGAAAATGTTGTTTGTGCTGTATTTAGACCCCTCTACCATGAAATTTGTTTTGCATGCACACGTATAAGTATTGTCTGACCAATTTAGAACATGATATTCACACCTTTGAGTGACATAACAAAATTAGCTTCTCATTGTAATAATCAAACTTTAATATGAGCTCACTTTATATATCTAAAATATATCTAAAATTCCTTCATTTGAAAAAACACACAATGCTTTTCTAGAATTGTAAAATTTTGAATAATGACAAAACTTCATCTATTAATTTTAATTTACAATCGTTTCAACATCAGATGGTTGCTTTTTTATTGATGAATGTTTTTTTTCTTAAACTTCCTTTGATTTTTCTTCAGAAATCATTGTTTTTTTCAAAACATTGATTTTAAGGTCTCGTATAAAAGAAAGATTAAATATTACATGTATTTTACCTACACCTGTGTCCCCTTTTTATTTTTTTCTTTGGGGGGGGGGGGGGTCTTTATATTTACCATTAAATAACATTTACAAGTTTTTTTAGATTTATTTTCCTGATTTAATTTATAATGATTAGACAAACAACAGGACTCATGATTTCTTTCTTTTGCTCTTTTCCTTTGGAAATTGCCTCGGGGGATTGTACACTCCGTTGTTGCAGTTTTTAAGAATCCACTTTCATAATTAAGGTACAATGAAAGGTCATTCGTGTATAGCATTTTATAGTGCATGGAAAGCGAACTACTATGATAACTAGAAGGGAAAAAAATGATTTTCCATTGGACGAGAATGGGTGAGTATGTTC